TTTCCCTAGCTGAAGTCAAAATGTGCAGTAAAAATTGCCTTCTAGAGTTCACCTTCTATACACAAATCAAATGTGTTGGAGGGTGTGAAAGTAAACTAATGTCCTAAACAGTTACGGCATAGTTTTGTCTTACAGTGGAGATATTTGCAATAATCATATCCTGAAAGCTGCAGAGTAAAAACAGCTTGGTGCTCAGCACAGCGAGCCAGAACTTTGTTTTATTTACTCTGGGTTAACAGCTACTGTGCAACCTGGTCTCTCAGTGCAGCTGAGTGTGGAAGTGATCACAGGCCTGAGTTACATAATATGGTTTCACCTTGCACAGAAACATTGGGGAAATGCTTCTACAAAATATTTTTGAGCAGTCTGAGTTACCACCAAGGTGATGTTCTCTGTTTCTCCATCACTTTGCTTGCATCCAAATTATGTGTATGCAAATCTTACACACCATCCTTGCTGCCTGTTGTGGAATACTTCAAATGCTTGTGGTGTTAAATTCTGGGATACTGAAGATTAAGAGAACATATTCAACAAATTACGTGCTTACAGAGTAGGTTTGTGCAACATGAAAGTCAGGCTATAGGGCATCTTTCAGTAGTTGCTTTGAAAACACCTGCTCTGTTTGGGCAGCTTTTCCATCAAAGCTGTTTGACCCTGTCACCTGCATTGATTTCCACTTCAGGTGTTGACTGCTGACACTTGCTGAAAGTGTTTCACCTCTCAACTTTCTGGTTAAGACCAAGTGTGGTGCTGTCTCAGACTCCACCTGTTCTCTGGTCGGGGAGGCAGACTAGATTCTTCCCTGGATGGATTCTAGGAGCTTTTTTCTTCTGTGACTTTCGTTATTACTGTTATTAATCTGTCAGTAGTGTCCTCAGAATGGACAAACTCTTGCATGTTTAGCCACTCCTTCAATTTAACATTGTGGAAGATCAAGGACCTTTCACTGCCTATGGTAAGAGCCTTCCCCCCCACCAACAACTTCCCCTCTGCCTCCAGGCACTACTTCCTACTTGGTGTAACAAGTGAGACAACACTGCAGAGTCCCAAGGGATTTCACCTCCGAGCCCCCCAGTGCACAGGAGCACACTCCTTTCTGCACAGCAACCCAGCGGGGCTCCTTATGGCTTCCCTCCCCTTGCTTAGTCAGAGACCAGCAGGAGAGAGATGAATACATGTGGAGAGAGAATCTAATTTGCCATTTCCCTGAATGCCGGCAGATTGTGTGTGCTGCACTCACGTTACCAATCTGGGTCCTCCGTCTCTCCAGCTGTGCTGAGGTTTCATTCCTACGGCTGTAAGGAGCAGCATTTCATTCCTCTGAGGACCCCAATTAGCTCAGCCAAGAAAATTTTTTGAAAGAATTTTTTTAAGGAAATCTTTTTGCAAAAATCTAGTTGATCTAATAGAAGATATCACCTCTCCCTTCTGGTTCCATTAGCTCAGCCAAGCAACTAGTACAGGTGGGCATCACTGAGGACTGAGCTTTTGCCCATAAGCACCCACTGGGCGATCACAAGGGTCCAACCTCAGTTTCTCCTTCTTTTCTACCTGTTGAGAACACACTGGGTGCTGTGGTCACTAGTGCTTTGAGGACAGCACTAGCAGTCACCCAGGGGAGGGCTCTTCAGATTAACAACCACTCAGCTCAGGAGTCGGTGGGGGAAGCCAGCCCCTCCTCTGGGTTCCTCCGAGGGACCCTGTATAAAGCCACTTTCACCTCCCCCATTGCTGCTTCCCCTCTCACCTCCCTCTGGGAGGCTTTTCCTCCAGCTCTTGCTCCTCTTCTGCAGGCAGTTCTCTCTCCTGAAGGCTGTTCCCACTAGAGATTTCTGAGCAGCAGCCTTCTTATCACCTCAGTTGCAGGGCTGGCAATCAGCCCCAGCTGAAGAGGTGGTGAATCTCTATTAACCCCCCACAAGTGCCTGAAATAGCATGAAGCAGGCAAGGTTCTTTGAGTCAATGTGATGTCTTGTATTAGACCAACTGAGTAGTTAGAAGAAAATTCTTTGCAAACTTTCAGGTGCAGTCACCCTTCTTCGGGCATGGGGAGTCTCAGCTGTTCTGAGAGTGAAATAGCATGAGGCCCGTATTCCCTGTGACAGGCACTTCAGTAGAAAGCAATGGTCCTACAAGCCTGCTTAGCCAGTGTTGTCACATAGGTCATGACTTTGGACGTGCGCTTTAAGCGTGGAACATAGCAGGTGAAGGCCAGGCCAGGAAGCCTCCGGGCTTCTGTCGCTGAACGGTGGAGTTTATGATGACAGTTCCTTTCAGGCCTGACTCTCTTAACTGTGCTGATGTGTCTCCCTTTGTATTTAAAAAAGATAACATCAGTATTTCCATGTGAAGCTTGTTGCTCCAGTTGTCAACAAGGCTCTTAGAAATCAAGTTAAAAGAGAAGATACTCCCTCACCTTTGAAGCAAGGTAGCGCTGGCCCGACAGGCAGTAGAGCGGAGGTGTTCCCCACGCTTTCATTATCTCGCATATGCTCATAGTGTTCTGCCACGTTAAACTGTATCTTGATCATGACCAATGGAAGGTATGTGCATTGATGAAAGATGTCTCTGACGAAAGGTTCGGTTTTTATCATCAACTTTCTGCTGATGTTACCATCAGGCATAGGTTAAATAAGTTCAATTCTGCTCCAATCATGTGAATGACTGGTGAGCAAACAGCCAATCTGGTGACATAGAAAGATCTCTTGTTTCTAACACCCCAAGTGGAAAATGAGACGGCTGAAAGAGGGAAATGTACTTACATAACTCATACTATAACACACTGGTGTTGTCTGAGACTGTTACTATCTCTCAGCATTTAGTTTAAGCAGGAGAGGTGCATGTTTTTAATTCCAGAGATGCAAGACTCAATCCTCGTGGGGAATTAGAGAGGCTGAGACACTTGATAATTTTGCCTATCCCTTTGCATCTGTGTTACTCAAAATACTGAGCAGCCTGCATGAGGTCTCTGAGCAGACACTGACGTGCTTTTCCTCTTGCATCCTAGGGAAAAAAGAAAAGACGGACAAGAGAAAAGCAGCAAGACTCCAGCTCAGGTAAAATCTTTGGTACAAAGCCGAGTGTGCTTCTTGGTAGTCACTTTTTGTCGTTGTTGCTGGGAATGAATTAAGCCACCAAGGCAGCAGTTGTAGTTGGCATCCTTGTTTTACCAGAGGGCAGCAACTCTGTCAGCTGCTGTAACCAGAAAAGTATGATGGACTCCTAAAGCAGTGAATTGTATGTAAGCAACTTCACCGTGTTCCTAAAACATACATTTTAATTAGAACAGGAGGGATTCATGGAAACTGAAAAGGCTATTGCTTGTGGCTATTGCTCATCTTTAATATAAGCCAGGGGAAATGCTCCAGAAGCTGTGAC